CATGCAAGCCATCATATATACAACCACATATCATACACACCCATATAATAATAATAAATTAAAAGCAGTAACAACAGCAACAAATTTAATATCATACTGGATTACTGGATTTTGGATGAGAATGTTCAAACTGGGATTTCAAAGCTATCCATTATGACTATAAGACTCTGATTCTTCTTAGTCCATCCAGTGAACTATCATTCAGACTTAAGTCAACAGCAGACTCAGCTAAAATAGTCAACGGCTGAGAAACATTTAATAAAAGCTGATTGATTAGACAGAGTTACCCAGACTGGGTACAATCTTTTATGTGGAGCATGTTGAATTTGTGTGTTCTTAGTCCTTTCTTTTTTTTTTTTTTTTTTTTTTTTTTTGGTTTTTTCGAGACAGGGTTTCTCTGTGGCTTTGGAGGCTGTCCTGGAACTCACTTTGTAGACCAGGCTGGCCTCGAACTCACAGAGATCCGCCTGCCTCTGCCTCCCAAGTGCTGGGATTAAAGGCGTGCGCCACCAACGCCCGGCTGTTCTTAGTCCTTTCTAAGAGCCATTGTACAAGCATTAAAATCAATCTCTATAGGATATTAAGATACAACTTTAGGCAATACCCATTGAGTGTTTTTATAAAATCTTAAAAAGAGATCTTTTTTATAGATACCAAGTAATATGCTAATGAGATCTGCCAATCCAGTATAGAACAATTTACTTGCATTTTATTTAGTGGAAAAATAATTTTGTAGGTCCTGCCTTAGCCACATTACTTAATAAGCTAATAACCTGCTCTGTTTCAGGTGTTACATTTTTTTTTTTGTAGAATTTAACCAAGAGTTTCCAGAAAGCAACAGAAAGAGCAGAGCCAAATCCTCAATAGTGATAAACAGGTAAGAGTGTACCCAATGATATAGTTCAAAATTAGGAATTTTGCTCTTTCAGTTTACTTACTATGAAACTTAAGTATTCATTTAAGCATTGATGGAGAAGAGAACATCCTCCATATAAAATAGCTAATACCCCTGGAAATCTAAACAGCGTTGGTTTAGTACTTTATGCCAGGGCTATGATTGTTTCTGTACTAGAAGTTGGGCTTGTTTTAATTTTTTCTCCCATGAAGGGACTACTGACATTGAGTTATTCCTGCTGAGGAGGAAAAAAAGAAACCATTTAAACAAAAATCAAGCAAACAAGAAAATTCTACATTCTGAGCCAGCTGTGCTCAGCTGCAGCAGTGGAGCCCCGCCCATCATTCATTAGAACCCAGATGTTGCCACTCTGTGCTGGTGGGCCCTGGGCAGAAAGGGCTGGCAGGCAGCTCGCAGCCAGAGAGCTCTGAGTTCCAGCTGCCATTAATTCCTTTGAATCTTTCAGAATAATTCTATTCCGAGCAGCCCAAATATTTAAAATCTGTCTTACACACGGTGAATGCACACTATGCCACTGCTTCCTTAAACCTGTCATTTTTGCAGATCTCCAGTCAATCTGAACATAGTCCTGAGGATATTATTTGGTGGGCACTTGCTACATAGTAACTGGAAACACCTGAGGTGGAGTCTTTATGACTTTAGGCAACGATTCCTCAATACCTTCATAAGGAGGTGCCATAAGTCCTTGATTAAACAGTTCCCTTTTTTCTACCAGGAAGAGCCTTTTTCCTTCCTTTTTTTTTTTTTTCCCTCTGAAGCTATTCTATTTGGATCTGTATTTTTGCAATTCTGCAGTCAAATTCTTCAACTTCCCCTTTGCCTAAGTCTGTCTCATCTGGAGGAGGAGGAGGAGGAGGAGGAGGAGGAGGAGGAGGAGGAGGAGGAGGAGGAGAAGGAGGAGGAGGAGGAGGAGGAACTCTTCTCCATTCTGGCTTTCCTCACTTTCATCTTCCTCTGAAAAAACATTGTCCTCTGCTGACTGACAGTTCCTAGCCAGAATGTCCTCCTTCTTACTTGCATTTTCTAGATCTGACCCAGTCTTTTCTGACTCTTTATTTTCAGCAGCCCAGAGCATTGGGAATAAATTACATAAAGACCAAGTCTTTAATGGTATAGCCTCCCCTGATGAGCTCACCTCAACACTCTCAGCCAGATGATTTGCCTGAAACCAGTAACAATGCTGTTTAAAAACTTGATAATCTGTTTTTCTTTCACTTCCACTCTATTTCCTTGTAGTAAACATTTTAACAACTGTACATACTGCTGCTGCTCCTGAGATAGGGAATTCTCCATGTCCCTGCCAAAATCCTGGAGTCCTCACTTACACATGATAGCACTTACCTACAGTTCAGGAGTTCCCACACACCCCTTTTCTTTGAGCCCCACATTTAGTAAACTGAGTAATTTTGATAAACTGAGTCATGCAGGACAACTGAAGAAAGAGAGCCACTCAAAGATGCAATGAAGCCTTATAAGGGTGCTCAGGGTTCAATCCCCTGAGGCTGTCCTCCCTGCTCCTTCAAGGTTTCATTGCATCCTTGAGTGGCTCTCTTTCTTCAGTTCCCCTGCCTGATTCAGTTTATCAGCAACTAGGTTTCATTTATCAATATTTTTGGCAAAGCTATTTCAATTTATTTTACAAGGGACTGTTTGTTTAATATTTACTTATGTGTATAGTGTTCTGCCTGCATGCCCCAGATCTCATTATAGACTGTAAGCCACCATGTGGTTACTGGAAAGTGAACTCAGGACCTCTGGAAGAGCAGAGAGTGCTCTTAACCTCTGAGCCATCTCTCCAGCCCAAGGTTTTTTTTTTTTTAATGTCATTTGTTGAGAATTAAAATATATCACACTATCTTAACTATATAAAGCTCTACCAGAACCCAGGCATGTGGCACACACCACTCATCACAGCAGTTAGGAGGTAGAGGCAGGAGGATCTGAATTTGAGGTCAGCCTGGTCTACACAGTGAGTTCCAGGACAGCCATGACTACTTCGAAAGATCCTGCCTCTAAAACAAACAAATAAATAACAAAAAGAATGAACTCTTCTTTTTAAAGATTTTTTAAAAAGTTTTATTGTATGTGTTTCCCTGAATACATGTATGTGCGTCAAATGCAAGCTTAGTCCCAGCAATGGTCAGAAGAGGGCACCAGATTCCCTAGAACTGGAGTCAACAGATTTTTTTGTTTTGTTTTGTTTTTCTAAACATTACAGTTTGTAAATTATCATGTGGGCTATAGGAAACAAACCTGGGGCCTCTACAAAAGCAGTAAATGTTTTTAATCACTAAGCTATCACTTCACCCTCAAACTTTGTCAATGCTATTTAAAATTTCTAAAATAAAATATTCTCCAACTTATTATACTTGCATTTGCATAGGTAAATTATGTTTCACACAAGCTAAACTACGTTATTTTCACTTTGCAAACAAGTTTTTAGTGGCTCAAGGTCCCACCTAGTCAACAGTAGTGCCAGGATATAGCCCAGAAGTTGTGCCAGTGGTATTGCTCATCAGGTGAAGGCACCTGTTGCTATGCCTAATGACCTGAGTTCAATATTTGGGACCCACATGATATGAAAAACTGACTCCTACAAGTTGTCCTTCACACATACATTGTGGCTCCAAATCCCTACATACATGCTCACATATGTACAAAACAAATAAAATGTAATAAAAAATAAAAATAAACCTAGGAGTTAACTCTGAACTTTTTTTTCCAATCACAAAGTCTGTTGCTGTCCCACTGTATTTCTAGCTATTCTTTGAAAATAGAATATAAACTGTAGTAATTTTGGGAGAGAGATTGCTGAATGAGAAAGCAAATGGAAAAATGCTAAAATTTGAGCAATTGCACCTTGCTTTGTATGGAAAAATTTCATTGGACACCTCAAATGAAAAAGGAAAATATAACTAGATATCAGGGCCAGCTCTAAGGCTACAAAAGAAGTCATCTCACAGGGAGAAAAGTAACCACTGGGATTTTTGTTCTTTTAACAAGCTTGAAGATGCACAAATCTCTTTAAAGCCTGACCTCCAACGATATGGGTGGGAAAATATCTTTACTTCCAACAGACCTAATAGTCAAACAAAAAGATTTCACAGAGGGCTAAGAAATGAAAACCAGTGGTATCTAATTGCTTTATAAAATCATGAGTAAAAAACGGAGCTATTTTTAAGAATTTCTCCTGGTGGATGTCAGCATTCTACTTTTCATCTGTAGTCTTAAAAACAGAAACTACTACCTTCAAGAGAAAGGAGGCTCTGCTCTGTAGAACAATATCCCCAAACCGTCCCCAGAATAGATCTGGAGTCCGACAACTCATTGCCTTTTCTATGGAATACACCTAGGACATCTTTCTCAATCACCTCCATTCTTCCCAAATACAAACTGAAGGGGTCCCTTGTCATTTCTACATTAAGTGTATTTTTTCAAAAAACTAATCATTATTTTAGTGTAATCATCTTCTTTAGACTATAAATTCCCAGCAGGCAAAGCAAGACCTACTGCTACTTTTCCTAATTTTCAAACTTAACACTTGTACAAGTATTCCACAAAAGCTGAACAAGAAAAGAAGTTAAACGATTCAGAGATTAGTGTGAAGAACAGAAAACATAGTCCAGAATTTCAAAAAGAGTTTGTATTGAGAAGCCAAGACACAGGATGAGTCTTGAAATGCTTACATTTTACACTTAAAAGCAAAAGGCAACAAGGAAAATAATTCCACATTTTAAAAGACCCAAAACTACTTCTACTATTTAAGAGACAAAATAATAATAATAATAATAATAATGACAACTTCCAGTTAAAAAAAAATAAAACCATTAAGATCTGGGTTATAACCCTCAACTACAGAGAAACTCAATGACCTGAATCACCCTTCTCTAACACTTGTTAGCCAAACTACTTTGCACAATTATCTGCTTAAATAATCCTTTGAAGTAAATCTTGGCATAAGAAAGTTTTCTTTTTCATCAAATTTAAGAAAATACAAAACAGCATCCCAGTTTTAAGCTCATTACCGTGGAAAGACAATGCCTCAATACATGTTTTGTAAGCCATTCTCTGGTTACCATGTTACCTTGGTTAGAGTCCCCTGGGTCTTCTATATGAGCAATGACCTTGCTGAGATAAATATCCTTCTGTTTTTCGAGATCTGATTGTGAAAACATCCTTGAATAAAGCAAACCAGGAGGAAAAACAGTCCATTAGAACCATGAATATAGTGCTTTGTAGAAAAGTCACATATTGATAGTTAAAACAACCAACTTTCAGAGACAAATTCTCTAAGATCCAATGACAGAAGAGATAATATTAGTCACAGTACAAAACCAAAATCAAGCATAGAGTTTAGAAGTAAAGGAAAGGGCTGGAGAGATGGCTCAGCTGTTAAAGGCTAGGCTCACAACCAAAAATATAGAAATAAAGGAAAAAAATGTAACTCATGGTAACAAAAAATATCAGAAGGTAAAAATGAAGTAGCTCATAGAGACAGAAAGCATTTGTTGAGTAAGTCAATTTTAACCAACTTCATTGAGCCACACAGGAAAAGTTGAATGAGATTAAGGCAATCACAATCTTGGCAACAATTTCTGGTCCTTGTTCATATTGATAGCTCTGCATGAAAAGAACTGGTGGATGAAAATATTGAAATTGTGAATTTATTAGTGTTCCAAGTAGCCTGATTTGTGTGTTTTGTTATAATTTCACTTTTAAGAAATTCACAGTGGGGCTGGAAAAATGGCTCAAGCACTGTGCTGACTGCTCTTCTGGAGGACCTGTAGTCCAATTCCCATTACCCACATAGCAGCTCACAACTTTAACTCCGGTTCCAGAAGACCTGACACCCTAGCCTTCTGTGGACACTATAAACACAGTAAAACACCTATCCACGAAAAATTTTAAAAAATGTCAAAAAAGGGGGGAAAATTGACAGAACGCTCCTCAATTATGTGGAAAAAGAAATAGAATCCACAAAACTAAAATTTAGTGGCAAATAATCTTATCTGTCGTTTTTAAATTTTAAAACAGAATATGCCGTAAGTGTATTAAAAAAACAACTTTTCTCAATTTTATTGTAAGTAAAGCAATAGGATTCAACCTAAAAAGTAGCTTTTCCAGTACACTCAATTGAAAATGCCTATGTACAGATACTGCCATCTCCTGGCAACAAAAAACTAAAAAAAAAAAAAAAATGCCTCAAATCTGCAACCCTAATTGATATTTGCCTCCAGTTGTATGCAAGAAAAGAAAAATAAGACTAAATTATTTTCTAAGAGAATTTTAACCTTTTTTGGTTAATATTCTTTTTCGGGACTGGGTTTCTCTATGTAGCTTTGGAGACAGGCTGTCCTTGAACTCACTGAGATCCGCCTGCCTCTGCCTCCCGAGTGCTGGGATTAAAGTAAAGGCGTGCGCCACCAATGCCCAGCCTTTTTTTAAAAAATAATTTATAAACTTTATTTTGTGTGCAAGGATGTGAAGATGTCAGATCCCCCTGGGGTTACAGATAGTTGTGAGCTGCCACGTGGATACTGGGGATTGAACCTGGGTCCTTTGGAAGAGCAGTCAGTGCTCTTAACCACTAAGCCATCTCTCCAGTCCCTAGTATGTCCTTTTTACTTTCTTTTTTTTTTTAAGATTTATTTATTATGTATACAGCATATATGCCTGCAGGTCAGACAGGGCACCAGATCTCATTATAGATGGCTGTGAGCCACCATGTAGTTGCTGGGAATTGAACTCAGGACCTCTGGAAGAGCAGTCAGTGCTCTTAACCTCTGAGCCATCTCTCCAGCCCCCTTTTTACTTTTAAAATAACCTAGTGAGGCTATAAAGACAACATTAGCTTCATTTTACATGATACAGAAACTGAAGTGAAAGATTATTTGATTTGCTCAAGATAACACAAGCAGGTACCTTCAGAATTTCAAGTATGTTTATTCTTTCTGCAGGATTTCCTGCCTCCCACCCTACCCCCATCCACACATTAAGAAGATATTGAGAAGGGGAGGAAAGAAATGAAAGAGAAAACTAGAATGGTTGGTTATATGTTACATTACCTGGTTCTAGTTTGTAGAACAGGAATGACTTTGCCTAGTCTTCTTTCACCTTTCACCTCACCAGAATCCTTGTCGAAAGTATGCTAATTTGTTGTTTTCCAGAAGAGATGGAAGGAATACAACAGGAAAAATTACTAGTTGTAAGTAATTTTTATAATTTTCAACTGTATCCTATAGCTGAAAACATCATTACGAGAATATAATTTTGTTGTTTTGTTTTTCAAGTCAGGGTTTCTCTCTGTAGCCCAGGCTGGCCTCAAACTCAAAGAGATTCACCTGCCTCTGCCTCTGGAATGCTGAGATAAAAAAAAGCATGCACCACTACCACCCCAGCAAACTTCATTTTTTTTGGGGGGGGGGGAAGGTGGGTAACTAGGGATTGTAGCAAGTGCATTCTAGTCATATACTCTATAAGTATATAGGAACCCTTATGAAAATAATTTTATTTCTACTGTGTCTTGAAAAATATGTACTTACTCTGTTTGATGAACTGGACACAACTGGAATTCTTACTTCACAACCTGATTTATGTGATCCACTATTTTTCCAGGATGATCCCCTGTTAGGTACTTCTGAATGGTTGGAGATCTGAGAGAATACAGGGGTAGGTTTCTTACTTTCAGGTGTATTTTTATCAGAGGCAGTTTGTTCGATGTTGTTATTTGAAGGAGAAGAAAGCAGGGGCCCATCCCAAGCAGAGTTATTGGGACTAACCCCTTCAGGTTCAGTGCAATGTTTACTCTCATTTGGATGAAGATGATCTTCTCTCGTCAGTTCCCCAAGGGAAGCAGGGTTTTCTGTATCTTTGGAGGAATCGGTCTTGTCCTTATCAAGCACAGGATCACAAACTGTTGGATTAAACGGTGCAACAACAGTTACTTTTATAAGATTCTTTTCAAGTACAAAGTGTCTGTTTAATGATTTACTAGGAGTTGGTCCATGACCAACTGATGTACTTAGTTGAGGTAGTTTGAAGAAGCCAGGGGTCTCAGCTGATGGTCCCAAGCTGTACACAGAATTTTCGTGAGGAGTACCAGGTAGAATTTGACACTTTCTCTCTCCATACTCATCATGCCCACCATTATCATCCTTCAAGAGCATCTCAATCTCTTCCTCTGTGAAACTGAAATGGCCATCATCTTCTTCTCCATCAGAAAACTCCAACAAGGAGTCATCCAGTTCATCTTCATCTGAGGAACCCCAAGAAAATGAGGCATTGTCTTTAACCAAAAAAGAGGTACCAGAAGACTGTTCAGAGGGCATCAGTGAACACGTCATATCTGGAAAAATATGAGAAGGTTTTGCTGAAGAACAAGAAATATCTTAAACTGATTCCAATCTACTATATAGAGAGAAAAAGCATCCTAGTATCTCAAATTCTGTACTTGCACTATGATTTTAAACTTGAGAAATAATTAAGATATCATCATTACCAGCATTATGGAAATAAATGTTTACGATACATTTTTTCCCAATCATAATGGCAAAAATTAAGATGAATGATAATCTGTGTTGGTGAGGCTGTAGAGACAAGCACTCACTACTATAAGAGGTTAAGTTAGCCGGGCGTTGGTGGCGCATGCCTTTAATCCCAGCACTCGGGAGGCAGAGGCAGGCGGATCTCTGTGAGTTCGAGGCCAGCCTGGTCTACAGAGTGAGTTCCAGGACAGCCTCCAAAACAATACAGAGAAACCCTGTCTCGAAAAAACCAAAAAAAAAAAAAAAAAAAAAAAAAAGTGGTTAAGTTAATATAATATTTTGTGAAGAGTAATTTGGCAAAACCATCTAATCTAGCAATCTCACTTCTGGAAATTTATCATATAGAACTACCTTCTACAAATGTACAAGGAAACACAGTATGTTCAAAGTAGTATTATTCAAAGGAGTCAAATGCATCCACCTCTGAGAGAAATGCTTAATAAAATCATGAGACATCTGAGTCAAAAACACTTTCAATTATTTAAAAGCACATTAAATAACTTTAGATGTACTACCATGGGGTGACTATAATATACAAGCAAAATAAATGTTTTGTAAACTGTTTAGACACAAAGTTTACACTTTTAAAAAAGAAAACACTATAACTTTCCTGTTCTGGTGACTGAGCCTGGAGCTTCATGCATGCAATTCAAGTCTTCTATAGTTAAGTATAGACTATTTTTTAATTTTTAATTTTAAATAGGGCCTTACTAAGGTGCCCAGACTGGAACTAACTTGCTCAACCAAATCTTGAATTTGCAATTCTCCTGCCTCAGCCTCCATAGAAGCTGGGATTCCAGGCCTGTGACCCAACTTAAACATGTATTATTTTTAAATGAAATAAAATAAAAAACAAAAACAAAAATCAGGAGGAGAGGGAGATAAATGTTGCTGGGTATAGTGTTCCTTCCGCTAATCCCAGCACTCAGGAGGTAAAAGCAGGTGGATATTATAGGTCAGGCAGAGCTATACAGTGAGACCCTGTTTCAAAAAACAAAAATTAAAAGCCTTCCATACTGTGTGGAGCTGCTGAAGCAATCTCTGCCTTTGCCACGAGACCAAATGGAAAAAGGTTCCAACTCCTGCTGGCTGTTCCTTTCAGGAGACTTGTCAAAGTGATTGACTCCCACCTTCCTGCAGGCACAAAGAAAATGAAAGGATCTTCTCATCACTTTCAACTCTGCTAATTACAAAGTCAACTGCATCATGCTTCAAGGTGTTCCATCTATTAATTTTAATCTTGATTTTAAAAAAAATAACCAGGAAGTTGGATTATTTTCAGTGAAGAACACCAAAGAGAAATCTTTACAAGAAAAAAATTATGCAACTAAGAACTGGTTTCGTTCCTCCCAACAACTGGCACTTTTTTTGGGGGGGGGGGATTTGAGACAGGGTTTCTCTGTGTAGCTTTGTAGATCAAGCTGGCCTCGAGACCGGCCTGCCTCTGCCTCCCAAGTGCTGGCTAGAGCTGGCACTTTATCTATCTATTTATTTATTTATTCATTCATTCATTCATTCATTCATTTATTTGCTTTGGTTTTTTGAGACAGGGTTTTTCTGTAGCTTTGGAGGCTGTCCTGAAACTAGCTCTTGTAAACCAGGCTGATCTCGAACTCACAGAGATCTGCCTGCCTCTGCTTGGGATTAAAGGCGCTCACCACCACTGCCCGGCAAACTGGCACTTTCTTAAGACTATTGTCTACTTTAGTGGGGTAAATAAGTACTGAGAGTCCTGAGACCTAGCTCTGTCACTAACAAGCCCTAAATCCATTAGTCACTTAACCATTTGGATTTGTTTCCTTGTAAAACAGAAAAGGGTTGGAGAAAAACTATATTCTACCAAATTCTAAAAATTATGACCATACCAATCAACCCCCTTCCTCATTTTTAATATATATAAAAAACAAAGAAAAAGTCAGCAAAGATATAAACACAACAGTTGTTGATTATTACCAATTACAGGGTCAAGCGTCAATGTCATTCTATTCTTTTTCTACTTGAATGTTTACTTGTATTAATTGAAACCTGAGGGGGTGGGGAAAGGGATATGGATGAGTAGTTTAATGCTTGCTTAACATATATAAGGGGATGGAGTTACAGGCACACACCACCACACCTACTTTATGTAATACTGGGGATCCAGCAGAGGGCTTTGCTCATGCTAGGCAAGTGCTTGTTTTCTCAGAGTCTCGAATACTCCAGGCTGGCATCCAAATCACCATGCAGTGGAGGATGATGGCCTTGAACTGATCCTCCTCCCTCCACCTCCCAAGTGCTAGGATTAAAGGAATCACCTCCAGACTGGCTTCCTTTATAGCTTTTTAAACTGTAACATTTCCTTCACTTTATTACCATCCATACCAGACTTTGACTTTCAGCTTTAATTCATACATTCCTTCAACAATTTTCTGAGCTACATAGTATGACTCTAAAACTTTTGAGAAATAAATATTCCCAACCTCCCAGAACATATAATTTTGGTTTTGTTTTGTTTTTTTGTTCATTTTTGTTTTGGTGCTCTCTTTGGGCTTGCAGGAATACACACAGGCAGAATAGTGTACATATAATGAATATTAAAAAAAAAAACTAGTGCCAGTTGCAGTAGTGCATACTATAATCCCCCTACCTGGAAACCAGATTGGGCTACACAGCAAGAATTAAAAACAAAACAAAACAAAAAGCAAAACACAAAAAAAAACAATAATTTCATATTACTAAATACAAATATCACAGTACTGAGCAACTTTTTTTTCTTTCTTTCTTTTTTTTTCTGAGACAGGGTTTCTTTGTGTAGACCTGGTTGCTCTGGATCTCGCTGTCTAGACCAGATTGGTCTCGAACTCAGAGATCCACCTGCCTCTGCCTCCCAAATGCTGGGATTAAAGGTATATGCTATTACTACCCAGTTTACAACTTCATTTCTTAGAAGTCCTTTCTGAGCCACTGCCCCCTCATCCCAATCACTCCAAAAAAACATATAGTTCAAGCACTTGCTTGGCCAAATGCAATGTTCATTAAATTTTCATAGTGAAAGGTGGGAGAAATAAAGTAACTTAAATTCACTACATGATTATGCTAGAGCAAGAATCCAAACCAAAGACTAACGCCAAAGGTAATCTTTCCCTATCTCTTTTGTCATAGACTTACCTCCAGAACCAGTTAGCAAATGGAAAAATTAGAATTCAAACCTAGGCCTTCTAAATTTAGTATGCTTGCTAATAAGTTATGAGATATGTAGATATTGAAGACAGATTTTTATTACTTGGAAAAATAATTTAAGCTACCTAAAACACACCAGAAGCTGCCCTTGTCCTCACCCATCATCCAAAGTCACAAACCTGGCTCTTTTGAGCTTCTCTCATAATGCCCAAATGGCAAAATGTCCCAAATAGCAAAAGCATCCCAAACAATATCACATACAGAGAGACAAACAGAAGCAAATTTAACTCACACAAACCATTTTCTTTTTCTTTACAACTTCCCTGAATTTCAAAAATTATTTTTATTATAATTTAAAACAAGCTAAGTAGGCCTGGCATGGTGAATGCCTTTAATCTCAGCACTCTGGAGGCAGAGGCAGGAAGGATCTCTGTAAATTCGAAGTCAACCAAGTCTACAAAGGGAGGTGCAGGGCAGCCAGGGCTGTTACACAGAGAAATTCTGTCTCAAAACAAAACAAAATAAAAAACCAACAACAACAAAAACAGTCATCACTCTCAGCTGCCAAACTACCAATCCATTGCTAATCTCTCACTCCATCTCTCTCCTTTAAAAGATTATTTTAAAACAAATCTCAGGCACTACATTTTATTTATAAATAACAATTCCTTATCCTAAAGTATCCTGCTCAAGGACTGAAGAAGTGGCTCAAACGTTAAAAGCACGAGCTCCTCTTCTAGGGGACCTGGGTACCATTCCCAGCATCTACATGGTGGTTCACAACAGTCTGTAACACTGGTTCCAAGGGATCCCATAGCCTCTTATGACCTCTGCAGGCAGCAGACATAAATGGTACACTGAAATATATACACGAAAAACACCTATACACATAAAACAAAATAATAAAAAATTTAAACCCCTGTTCAAATTTTCTAATTATCTTATTCATATTTTTCAGGCTTAAGGAAAAGCAAACCAATCAGGATCCACATAAGGCCTACAAAAATGCAACAGGCTGATGACTTCTAAAGATTTCCTACCTTTTCCCACTGCAATTATCTGTTACAGAAAGCTTCTATGAATATACACACTTATCACAAAATTATAAAAATATCCACAAGAGCCGGGCAGTAGTGGTAAACGTCTTTAATCCCAGCACTCGGGAGGCAGAAGCAGGTGGATCTCTGTAAGTTCAAGGCCAGCCTGGTCTACAGAGCTAGTTCCAGGACAGCCTCCAAAACAATACAGAGAAACGCTGTCTCTAAAAAACAAAAACAAAAACAAAAAACACCAAATTCAGGATAGCAAGAACTTCTGGTAGTGACAAGAAAACAAGAATGGCAAGAAGACATGGACCAGTCTTGCTGTTATTTTTTGTTCTGTATTTGAGAGACGGTCTCAGGTAGCCCAGACTATCCTGAAACTTGCCAAGGATGACCTGAATTCCTGATTCTCCTTCCTTCCTTTGCCTCCCAAGTCCTAGAACTTTAGGAACCATAATAAGGTTTTTGTCTACTTTTTTAATCAGTAACAAAAAAAACCAACAAATATGGAGATGAAAGATAAACCTGAACAGTGAGTATAATCATTACGCTACCTTGCTTAACTTTTTAAGCTTGAAATATATAATAAGAAATACTTTTAGGGAGCCGGGCGTTGGTGGCACACGCCTTTAATCCCAGCACTCGGGAAGCAGAGGCAGGCGGATCTCTGAGTTCGAGGCCAGCCTGGTCTACAAAGCGAGTTCCAGGACAGTCTCCAAAACAATACAGAGAAACCCTGTCTCGGAAAAAAAAAAAAAAGAAATACTTTTAGGGGATGACAGATGGCTCAGTGAGTAAAGGTACTTGCCCCACTGGCATGGTAATCTGAATTCAATCTCTAGTACCAGGTAAAGATAGAAAGAACTAACTAGTTTTTTTGGAACTCCACTCCCACACCATGTACATGCACAGAAACTTACACACCATACACTACATAAATTAACTACCAAAAAAAAAAAAAAAGGAGGGCTGAAGAGATGGCTCAGAGGTTAAGAGTACTGAATGCTCTTTCAGGGGTCCTGAGTTCAATTCCCAGCAACCACATGGTGTCTCACAACTATCTACAATTTCAATCTGGTGCCTTAAATTTTTTTTAAATTAAAAATTAAAAAAAAAAGAGCCAGGTGGTGATGGCTCACACCTGTAATCCCAGCACTCAGGAGACAGAGGCAGACAGACAAATCTTTGAGTTCTGAGTTCAAGACCAGTCTGGTCTACAGAGCAAGTTCCAAGAGAGCCAGCTATACAGAGAAGCCCTGTCTTGAAAAACCAAAACTAAGTTGGGCATTGGTGGCCTTTAATCTCAGCACTCGGAAGGTAGAGGCAGGTGGATCTCTGTGAGTTCCGAGACCAGCCTGGTCTACAAGAGCTAGTTCCAGGACAGCCTCCAAAGCCACAGAGCAACCCTGCCTTGAAATCCCCCTCCCCCAAAAAAATTTGGTTTTGGTCTTTTTGAGACAGGGTCTCACTTTGTATCCCTGGTTGGCTTGGTACTCACTATGTAGACCAGACTGGCCTTAAAATTATAGGTGCGTAAGGTGACATGCACCTAGAATCCCATCACTCAAGAGGCAGAAACAGTTGAATCTCTTTCTGTGAGGTCAATGCCAACCTAGTCTACATTGTCACTTCAAGGCCAGCCAGCAGGGCAGTAGAGACCCTGTCTCAAAAGCAAACAAACAAACAAACAAAAACACAAAACAACAACAAAAATTAAGTTATAAAGCCAGTGTGAAAAATACACCCCAAGTCTCAAATATTTTCCCCTATAAAATAGGAAACTTCACAATACATCACTCTCACAAGGTTATTAACAAGAATAAGTAAGACTATGAACATAAGGACCTAGTACACTACAGATACAATTAAGAAGTGGTGGATACGGTTATTATTTCAACCTACAACCTACACCTCACCTGAAGAATCTTAAACACAGGAATGGTAGGGAAAGGAATAAACTGATAAGAAACTTTCCCCAGGCCCACTTTAGAAATTATTCAGTATAATCTGCTTAGTGAAACATCTAATCATATTGTCACTAAACCAGACTGGATGGATAGCTGAAATATCAGGTAACTTCTTCAAATTAATGGCCCATGAAGTGTCTTGTATAATTAGAGGCACCAGGCTAAAATTCAAAGACTTCATTCATTTGAAGTCTCTGAATTTTGGGGGCTGGAGAGATGGCTCAGAGATTAAGATTACTGACTGCTCATCCAGAGGTCTTGAGTTCAATTCCCAGCAACCACATGGTGGCTGACAACCATCTACAATTCAATCTGGTGTATATGTAATAAATAGATAAGTAAATCTTTTTTAAAAAAGTCTCTGAACTTCAATATAAATGAGCCCACTCATCTGTATTCCTAGCATTTAGGAAGGTGAATTCAAGGCTACCTGAGGCCCCATTTCCAATTCCAAACCAGTATGTGCTACACTGGAGAAAGGTGGGAGGGGAAGGGAAGTGTTTGAGATAAAGTCAATTTGAATTTTCAAGGAAGGAAACCTTCAATAAAACTGAAATTCTTGAAAAGCATGGTGGCAGATGCCTTTAATCCCAGCATTTGGGAGACAGAGGCAGACGGGTCTCTTGAGTTCCAGGCTAGCCAGGGTACCTACTGAGACCCTGTCTCAAAATAATAATAATAACAATAATAAGCCTGAGGCTCTCAAGTTCCACAATCACTGTCTCCCATGCTCCCATCACCTGCACTTCCCACTTGCCTGGTAAACCCCTTAAACATGGAGGCTTCTTTATTTTTAAGGGAGTATTTTCCTATCTCCAAATCCTCCTAATTCTCCTGCTCCACACCCTGTGACCCCATTCTGTCCTTCCACATCTCACCTGTCCACCCCCTTCTGCACGCTCAGCGAGCCACCCCCTCTCTGTTCTCCAACCTCCTGGTTGCAACCTCAGAAACGGGTGCCCTATCTATTTTTATCTTACCTCAGAAAACCTATTGCCTTAGAGCACAAAGCCTCATTCTATTTAGGACAGCAAAACGCCAATGCCATATGTACACTACACATCCTCTTTCAAGGCTCTAAAACCAAAGCCGTTACAGTCTGATACGCAGGGCCAAAAGAAGGATCATTTTGCAGAGGGGGCTTCTCACCGGCCTTTGAGTTCCAACCTCTCCTAAACACTACACGTGAAGTACACAAGCACACAGAAAAAGCTTTTTCACTAAAATGGACCCAATTTAAAAAAAAAAACTGAAACAAAAACAAAGTGAACTGAAACTGTCAGAAAGAATTTTGCAACTTCCTCTGTGGTAACTGCGAACATTGTAAAATGGAAAGATAACTCGTTTGGAAATCTCTGCTTTAGGTAACAATTCCCGAGGCTAGGGTGACAAAAGAGTCCCACACCGGCCCAAGCAGCAGGAATTTTCTAAACTGAAGCAACAGGTTTCTTTTATAAGAATGCTCTATTAAAGCTCGGGGCCCCTAACAACCGCGAAAAAACAAAACAAAACAAAAACGAGGACAAGCCAGGGAACTACGTCCTCTCTCGGTGGCCCTCTTCCGGGCTCATCCTGAGATGTCTGGGGCCTCTCCCTAAGGGCCTGGGTGAAAAGAGCAACGGTGGCCCAGGGATGCCTTTTCAAGGCTCCCGCCCGGCCTCCTGGAGGAACGCTGCCACCGCGCCCAGGGCCTTCGCACGTCCCTCCTCCCACTTGGGAAAGCGAGTACTCGCCTCCTCGCGGGTAGCGGGAGAAGCGCGGGTTTTCTCCGTGCCCCTCCCCCCGGGGCGACACAGGTCCCCGCGGGCTCTGGCGGTGCAGCCGACCCCCGGGGGCCGACGCCGACAGCCACACCTCGGCAGGCTGCGGCCCGCTGACGCCGGGAGTGGGTCGTCCTCTCCCACCCCGACGCGCCGCGGGAAGCCCGCCCGCCACCCTAGCTCTCTCTCCCTGGCAACACCCACCGCGGCACGAGCCCCGGGCAGGCTAGACAGACCCCTTCCCCCACGGGCAGGGCCAGCGACCTCGCTCGCGGCCCGAAGACCTGACAGCTCTTTCCCTGAGCAGGATGAGGGGCGTCACTCGCCCACGGATGTGGAGGTGGGGGGCAGGGACAACCTCCCCGCGCGCCATCACCTCAGGAGCGAGAAATCAGCCCTTCCCTCAGCGAGACGGGGGCCTCCCTCCTCCTCGCCGGGGCAGACGATGTTTGCGGCCCCTTGGAGATGCAACAGGCGACCCCGACCCTCCGCCCAAACGACGAACGCCGACCCTTCGTCCCTCCCGCTCTT